CAGTCGACCGAGCGACCGACTTCGACGATCGGTCCGACGACGRGGAAGCGAYCAGGAAGTGGTCTCGGCAACCACGCGGCAAAACCTAGGAGCTGGTGACCATCGCACGACGACGACGACCCGCACCACGACCACAGTGCGCAAAGGACGGAAGCCTGTRGTGGAACGTTCCTCTCGCAGCGTGTCGGCTCCGCTTTCTTCTTCTCCTGCTGGGTCTCCGTCCCGGAACAGTCGCAGCAGCAGCAGCAGCAGAAATTCAAGAGGAAGTGGTAAAAAACAAAAAACATCAATCAATGCTCTGATCGAGCACATGAGAAAAAAGTACAAAAGGTCAGGCAAACGGAGAATATAAAAGAAACTCATTTCTCCTGACAGTCGTTCTAGTCAAGATGGGAATCATGTCGAACGTAGGGCGTGACATCACCCGAGGTGCCGTCGCCGAGCTCAAACGTCAAGTCAAATCAACGGCTCGAGGACTCAACCCTCTGAACAGACTGAAAAAATTCAAAAGGGTAAAGAGACTGTTTGACGCAATGCAAAAAGGCAAGGGGCGAAGAGGGTTGATCTACAAAGGAGGACGCCGTCCACCACCTCCGTTCTTCAAAGGATCGGGGAGATTGGTCTACAAAGGAGGTCGCCGACGTCGCCGACGCCGTGCTATATAAAAGGAAGACTACATCCGTGTGAAGGAATCATGGCAGGATTGGCTATAGGATTGTTGGGGTCCTTGCTTGGACCCATCATTGCCAAACCGATCAAAAAACTCATCACTGGGAAAGGCAAACGTCGCCAACGACGTCTGATAGGAGGGCGACGTCTGGTAGGGGGACGACGACGACCAAAAATTCCTGGCGTTCCTGAGATTGTCCCCATTATTGGACCTGCTTTTCAACCCGGTTTTGGAGGACCCATTGGAGGACGCCGTCGCCGACTCAAACAACGACGCTTGCGGCGACTATGACCCGACGACGACGACGACAAAAAGGAGGAGTTGTGGCTCCTCAACGATTCAATACTCTACTTTCGAGAGCTTTGAACCCTAGACCTCGAGGTGGTGTTGTTTATATGGGTAGAGGTCGACAGCGAGGACGTGGACTGGGAAGCGTGTTTGCCAAACTGATTCCCAAGTTGATCAAGCCGTTGATGGGACAGACGGCCAAGAAGCTGGTGAAACAAGGAGCCAAACAGGGAGCCAAAGCTCTGGCTGAAGGCACCGTGGCCGCTGGCGCCGAATACGGCGTGAATCGACTTTTGAAAGGGCGTGGACGGCAGTATAAAAGACGACTTCTTCAACCCCCGGGACCTCGAAGCGACGTCAAGGTTCACAATTTCCCGTATCAAAAACGAAAAAAGCAGGACGACGAGTTGGAAAGAAAATTTCTTCAGGTATGAGTCGCATGCAACGTCATCAGCGATACTGGTCGGCCTTGATGAAAGCCAATCCCCAACAACGCCAACAATTGGTCCGGTACGCCACGCCCGATCAAGTAGACGCCGTCAGCGAGATGGCCTACAACGTGCTCCGCGGAACTCCACCTCTTGCTCCAGAGGTGATGCGTCGATTGCGTCCTTACAAGAAGATCTTGAGAGGGATGGGAAATCCTCGTCGATCTCTGACGTCTCGTCGACGATGGATTCGACAAAACGGAGGGTCGGCCGTTTCGGCACTYGTCAAAGGMGTGGCCCAAGGRCTCAAACAGGGAGTTCGCAAAGGAGTGAAAGAACAAAAAGGGAGAATCGTTCAAGGACTCAAGAAGGGAGCTCAGAGGAGTTTGAAAAAAGGAGTTCGAAAACTCCTCCCCACGACGGTAGACATCGGCGAAGAACAAGAAGAACAAGAAGAAGTCTCTCCAGTGTCACAGCAGGCTCCGGCCCATACGTGAATCGAAAAATTGCAAAAGGAAATCGAACAGATGGAGCTGGCTCTGAAAAGTACTTAAACACCCTAACTCTTTCTCTCCCAAGGCAGTGTCATGAAATACACCAAAAAGGCTTACTTGAGGCTGACGCCTCCGGCCTCTCCCGTGCAAAGTGGAGGAGCAGTACGGGTCGGACAACCGGACATCACGCAATTGCTCAAGACCATGGCCATTCGTCAAGAGGAAGAGAAAACTCCGTACACGGACCAACTGGTGCGTCTCAAAGACGAACTGCAACAGATCATGATGGATCCCAAGATGGAACCGGGACTCAAGCTGAAATTGTTGAACGACCGATCGTCCGTGTTCCGAGACATGTTGCGTCGGAGCCGAGAAGGACGCGCAGTGGTCGCGACTCCTCCTGCTACTGCTGCTGTTGCCGGAGTGGTCCCTACTACAACCCCCAAAAAAACACCCAAGCCTCCCATACCACCCAAACCTTCCATCCTGAAAGCCAGCACTAAACAACAACAGCCGATTTTTCCTTCTCCTTCTCCACTGTCCACGAAACCGGCCATCCTAGCGTGGGATCCTGACGTCATCGACCCCGTCACACCCCAAAAAAAGTCCCCGTTACGCCCCGCAAAAAAAAGACGTCGAATGAGCAAGCAGGAAAAGAATCAGATGTCCCGCGACCTCTTGAAAGCCAAACGAAACTTGTTGAAAGAAATGATGGAATACAAACAGACAAGACGAGGATCTACGCCTCTAGCTGAACGCACGCGCAGCAAGACAAAACAACAGAAAGGCAGTGGATACCTAGACACTATGTTTGGAACTCTCCCCGGATGGAAAAATGTGAGATTTGCTCGTATGATGGGGATATGAGACAGTTTAAAAAAAACAACACTTGTTGGTTCTTTTAAAATGATTTTATTAATAAAAAACGTTTACAAAGGTTGTTTTCTTGTGTGGTTTTTATCAGAACGGTAAATGGGAGGCTCAGTACAACGACGGTGACGCCTCAAAGTCTGCAACAAAAGTTGCAACAAGTTCACAAGCCATCTCAACCAGGGACTCATGGTAGAGGATGCTCTTTCAGGTATTGCCCCAACAGGTCGTCTTGATCTGTGTGCACCTCGGGTGTGGTAGCCTTGCGATCCACTTCAACAGAGTCCACAGGAGCAGCAGCAGCACTTTCCACCACTTTCAGTCGAAGAGGAGGTAGAGATTTTCTTTTCTTTTTCAGCTTTTCTTTTTGTTCTTTTTTGCTGCGCTTTCGGTTGGATCCTTCTTGCAACACTTCTTGGGTGACGCTGGCATCAGGTTCTGGATTGGAATACGGACCCAGGTCAGAMACAGCCTTTATAGAATCGCGAGCCTTCTTGCATTCTTCTCCAAACTTTCTTTTTTCTTTCAGGACTTGGCAGAGCACGCCATTCATGTCGAGCATGACCATCTTGACCAAGGTGTCGAGATCGTAAAACCCAAGGGACTCGCACGAAGCTCGAGTCGACAGACGTTGCAGTTCTTGATTCCATCGGACGAGATTCTCGCTCAAAGTCACCAGCATGCCCATCACGCGGACGTTCTCTTGGTATCGGTCGAGACCGAAGAGATTCACGTTGTCTTCTCCTTCTCTGGTAGGGGACATGTCGATTGTGAAGAAGGTGGCGTAGGGCATTGCGTTTTTATCATCACCGACATCATCTGATCCAAAATCTGAGAGAGTTTGGCCTTCTCCTGATCCAGGTACAATCCCACATTCTTTTCCAAGTTCTGTCGGTACTCTGTGAATCCGACGTCGTCCATCTTTTGAAACACGTCTTCTTTTTTCCAAAATCCCGGTCCCGTTACCATGTGTTGAACATCTCGGATTTTGTCGCGAAAAGCAACGCCTTCGCGAGTAAAGTAGGCTTCCAAATGGTAACTGATCTCCATGAGCGTGTTCAAATTCTCTAGCAAATAGGGTTTGACCAATTCAAGGTTCAGAAACTCCTCTTCGGCTTGTCTCTCCATCCACGCCTGATCTCGGGTCTTCCAATGATCTTCCAAATGTTCCTCGGCGTGAGAGAAACACGTACTCGACAAAACGCGGACGAGATGGTCCACTTTTTCTTTCAATTCCCGGTTCGTCTTGCCAAAGGTGTTCATGGTGTAACGTCAAACGTCGATGTGAGGAGGAGATTCACAAACGGCGTTCTTCATACCCGTGTCGGGACAACGTCTCTTGAATCTCCCGGAGTTTGTCCTGAATGCTGGCTTTTTTACGAATGAAATGCGATGACATTTGGTACAGAAGGTTATCGATCTCGTAGATTTCGTCCATCACGATCACGTCCATCATCACGTCTTCGGGATGTGGAGGAGGAGATGATTTCTTGATGGTGTTCATCCTGACGTCTTGAAAAAATGACGAGGTTCAGTTCGTGGGACTCCTTTCATACCAGTGACGGATCAGCTTCATCTGAATCAGCTTCACGGATTCCTTGACCAACTCATAGGTGTCGGATGGTGCGATCTCGTATGACAAAACTTCTACGACCCCGTCCAACTCTTCTATCACGTCTTCAATTCGAAAACGAGAAACACCCTCCATATCTGTACTCACGTCCTCTTGTTTTTTAGGAGAGGAGGAGGGGGATTTCTTGGAGGTGTTCATGCTGCTGCTGATGTTGCGATCTCGAAGGATGAGGTGAGAATGGAGTGTTCTTTTCGTCTTCCTCTTTATTTTTCACGAACTCGTCTTTCATGTTCACGAACGTGAGAGCGAGATGATCCAAGGCAGCATTGTAAGCCAACTCCCAAAGTTTGCGTTGACGCGTCTGTCTGGCGCTCGTTCGTTGAGCTCCTTTCAGTTGGTATTCGAATCCGACCAGAAGCTCATCCATCTGCTCGAACCCTTCTCGATGGTAAGCGAGAATCACGAGAGGGGACATCATAGTACCGTTGAGATGTTCCGTCATCTCGGAGATCGACTTTCTAGACTTGAACGAATCGGGGGTAACGTTCTTTTTTTTCTTTTTGGATTTTTTCGTACAACACTGAGACAAAATAGTCCAGAGACCGCAWCCTYGGTTGGGGTCCGACATACCACGAGTAGAGAGCTTGCCACGTCCAGAACACCATGTATAAAGTGATTGGTAAAATACCCCGTTCCTTTCCTTTATGTCACCATCCCACCCCAAAAAAATGAACACGTTTTCACTTCAAATTTTGTTTTATTACAACAAACTCTTTTTTTTGTAAAAAATCAAAAAGTCTATTGAATCTTGCGTTTCTTGAAGCGTCCTTCTGTTGCTGCTGTTCCTCCTTCGGTCTTCTTTTTCTGAGAAGAAGATGGAATCCACTGCGAATAATCGCAAGGCATGTCRGGGTCGTACATTCCCAGTCGACAGTTGAAGAAGCATCCCGTCTTGGCTTTGTTCAAAGACACGCGAACTTTCAAATGATGAGAACATTCTGGCCAATCTTCTTCATAGTTCAATCCGTCCGGATAGCGGG